TGCTGTTTGTGAACATCTGTAATAGTTAATTGTTTTTTGTCTATTCTGTAAGCTGACTTGTTCCCCCCCCATGCTGCTCCTTATCTCCTTCTCCTTCATACCCCCTCCCATCGGTTACTTTTTCCCAGGGGTCATTTTGTAAAAAAAGAGGTGCAGGAGCTCATTAGCATACCTTATTTGCATATGCCACACCCCCTGACATCACCGGAAGTGTGGCAGAAGGCAACACCCACCGCTCAGGCTCCACTGGACTGCTTTGGATTGCTAGCTATGGGAGGGGGACGTGCAGATCTGTCCTCGCAGAGGAGGGAGAGCTTGTACCTGAATAAAACTTGGTCTTAAAGGTGCCACTGGACTGTTTTGGGCCTGGGGGCATGGGGGGGTCTCTGCAACTTACCTGGCTGCTTCTTGCTCTGACTGAGGGCTGCTGGGAGCAGGGGGTGGGGCTTGTTGCATGTGCCCACCCCCTGGACTCTTTACTGCCGGGGCTCCGCTCCCGTGCGCTCCTGCAGGAAATGACCCCTGCTTTTTCCTGGCTGGCATTGAGCAATGCTAACTTGTGATTGCATCACCCTGGTTTCACGAATATATATTGAAGCCAGTGCAGCAGCTAAAAAATATAATTTTCACTTTGATGGAGGGACGCACATTCACTGTTACCAGGTTTGTTAGCCAATGTAATAACTTTCATTTCAATTTGGATGAAATTAAGTATAGAATTTCACTAAAAAAAATTTATAATTTCATCTCACTTTTTAATTTAGAATAAGTTGTGGTGGTGATAAGGCTATACCTATGACCCATCACTAATACCAGGAGTCCAATTATAAGTAGACAAGGTAACTTTATCTTTAATAGAATCATTTTTTATTTAATAATGGTTTCTTTTATACATTTGGACAAAATAATGAAGTTGTTTCTCTCCCTCCCCCTTTATTTTTCTTTGAACAATTTCAGGAAACAACATCTGGTTTAATTATATGGATACTAGAATTCTGTAACAGGTCTTTGAATGTGTGTCTAGAATATATAGATAATAGTGACCACTGAGGAAGGCCCTTAGGGGCCGAAACGCGTATGGTCTTTGGTTGTAAAGTTTTTACCCATCATTTGTATGTATAGTGGACAAGCTTTTACAGTCTGATTTTAGACAAAGCAATTTTTAATCAGGAAAGTTTTAACACGTGTACACCTTAATAAATATTTGTACTTTTATGGTTTAGCTTAGCCCTATTTGGTTCATAGTCATACCCTGGGTTGAGTTCCCCCCCTTTTTTCCAGTACTAATTTGCATACCAGAATGTTAATCAACTTCAGGACTTCTTTTCTGAAGAGGGTGCTTTGAAGAGGCATCATAGAAATATCCTAAATTTTTTAAAAATTAAATGTCCAGAAGTTAAAAAGGTACCTTCCAGTTCAAACATTTGTTTTCAGTAACTTTTTTTGCAAGTCATGCCTTTTGCAAAACACGTAGTATTTTCTTAATGTTTGATATTCTGGATAGCATCTGTATGCATTTTACTGTTTTACCAGCTGATGTCTTTTAGGTTCTTTTACGTATTTGGTCAATGACCGTACTAATAAATTGATTGAAAGTAGTATTTTCTGCAACTGCCTTCCTGTAGGAAACTTTTACAAATGGGAAATGGGGCCAGGATTCTAAGGTCCCATTCTACTTGCTGTAAGTGCTTCTACTTGTGGAAGAGGGGTAGGGTGATTTTTGCTGATGACCCCTCTCACTTCAGCCCCCTTCTTTGACTTCCATGATGTTCCTGAGGGTCTTGGTGAACAATATTGGGGGGCATGAATGATGGCAATGGGAGGGGGGAAATGACCACTCTGTGTACCAAGCTCCTCTTGTGCTGTATAGGATCCAAGCCCGTGAAATGTTTATGCTACATATGTTCCACAGTACTACGCAAATCAGGAAAGGCATGACTTGTATGGAATAACAACTTAAAAAGTGAAAAGATAATGTTAATGGTATATTTTCCAGGGCTCTATTCTGTAGAAAAAGCCCAGCATGAACTCATTAACATAATAGGCCACACCCAACAGCAGAAATGCATTAGCATATTAGGCCACACCCCTGACAGCAGAGTCAGTACTTGGAAGGGAGACTATTGAGGAAGACTCTGCAGAGGAAGGCAAAGGAAAACCACCTCTGCTTCTCACTTGCCTTGCAAGCCCCTGGCGGGGTTCCTGTCCCCAGAAGTTGTCTGCAACTTCTCTCTCTCTCTCTCTCTCTCTCTCTCTCTCTCTCTCTCTCTCACACACACACACACACACACACAGACAGCTGCTTGCTTTTTAAGATTAAACTGAGATCCTCAGCATTGTTGCAGAGTACAGTATAATTCTGGGATCATGCATCATACATTGTTCTTTCCATGACTAAAAGGGTGCTATGTACATTTGCCGGGTTCGGAAATAGCTGGAGATTTGGGGGGGGGGGGGTTCCGAGAAGGGCAGACTTCAATAGGG